AAAATGCTCAGTGTCCTCTCTGTTCTCCTATGTGTGGGTCTCTTTGTCTGTTCTGGCTTTCTTATCACACAGGAGTGTTTAGATTTAGGTCCTACCCTAAAGTGTTAAGATTGTTTTTGTTAGGTGCCACTGTGTCAACTGCAATTCCTTGTGACCCTTTAAACAACAGATCAGAGCTTTGCCCTCTCCTTTGCCATCCAGGATCTCTGATTGGCACTGCCTATTATTACAGTCACGGTGCAAGTCAGTCTTATTGAGGGTCTTCCTCCCTTTCACAGACTTTTCACCTTTTCCAGCATGATGTCTTTTTCCACGAACTAGCCCTTCCTGACAACATGCCCCAAGGATGAGAGATGAAGTTTCACCATCCTTGCCAGGAAGGCACATTCCCCTGTTATCTGGAAATGCTAACATTTCCTTTACCAGCTCCCCTGCTTCCACCTACCAAAAGCCCATCCGCTTTAGTCTCCTAGTCAGACCTCATTTTCCTTTTTTATTCTTATTATATTGATGAGAACAAACACTGTGAAGTGGCTATCATTTTCTAGCCCTAATGTTAATTAGATTGTATCTAATGACTCAGTTAAATATGTTACTATCTCTTGGTTTGAAAACTCGTATTAAGGAAATCACTTTGTAATGTGAGGTACTAAAGTTATTTTAAGTGAAATGAATATTGACAGTTACAAAAAGCTAAGCTGATATCATGGATTTTCCTCTTTCATATATTTTTTAGATACAATTAGGTTGGATGGTAGGTTTACTAATATTTAGCCATTCTTTTGTGTTTGTGATAAATTTATTTTCTCATATTTTAGTCAGGGTGGTCCAAATGCTCAAGAGTCTGATTCATTCATTCTATTCAACAGTATTTCCAGAGCATCTAGCCATCTTATGTCAGGCATGTTTCAGGAACTGGAAATACAGCCAAGAACTAAAGAGGCGTCAGACCCTCCTTCCCTCGTGCAGCTGACATTTTGGATAAGGAGATAGAAGTTCAAACTATTGCATAAATAGGACACTGGAATGTCATGCTAAGAAGATAGTAAACCATGTGAAGGGAATGAAGAGCTCCAAGGTGGCGAAGGGGGAGTTGCCCTTTCAGAGGGGTGACCAGGCTGAGCCTCTCTGGAAAGTGTTAGTTGATTAAACGCATGATGAGGGAGAGAATCATGGTGCCACCTTGAGAAAGAGTAGTTCAGGCAGAGGGACTAGCCTGTGTCAAGGTCCTGAGGCAGGAGCTCGGCTGCATATTCAGGGATTAATGAGGACAACAGTGAGATGGGTGAAGGTAAGAAGAGGAGGAAGCAAAAAGTAGACTAAAGGAAATGGGTGCAGGGTGGGGAGAGTAGGTGATGGTGCAGCTCCATCTAGTCCTTTGAGAACTTTGACATTTTTTAGTAGAGGAGTTTCGTGGTCCATTTTACCTTTTAACACATTCATTCTGGTGACACTATCGAAAATAGACCAAAGGTAGAAAGCAATAGGAAGCTGAGGAGAGTCACTTTAAGGATGAATCTGGCCACCATTTCCCAAGAGAATCTAGCCTGATCTCAGGATGGCATTTAGAGAAATGGATCATTACTTCTCCTCATGTGAGTTAATTAAGATCCAGTGTCATGAAGGTGGTCAAGGCAAGACAGTCATAAGCCAAGTGTATTGTTGCTCCCCGATAAGAACGTGGCTCTTGCATCATCGTGGGTTACCTTGGTGGGGAGCATCTCCCTGTCTCCTCCTGGGCAGAGCTATGCACCAGAGAACCAGTTTTTCCCTTTGTGCACTTTAATCTTGGGGTGTTCCCAGCATACTTTTGCTGAGATGGGGCTCAGATCTAGTGCTGTGGTGGCATATTGCCTTTCTTTTTCCCTCTGCAGCAATGGGCTGAAGTGCGTCAAGGATGTTGAGGACGGCCCGGAATAGGGCAGAGTTCAGGGCTGCTGTTTATAGTGTCACTAGGAGCCATACTCAACTTGATGACAGCTAATAACAACAGAAAACATTTTCTTCTATTTTATTTTTTTTATTTTTTTCCCCTTCTCTCTCTCTTTTCAAAAATTTATTGTTAACTTCAATGAAAATTTACAGAGACTGGATTTCCATTCATTCATTGTTGCACTTTCCTCCCCTCCCAACCCTCCCCCCCCAGTACCCTCTTGGAAAAGTAAAGGAAAAATTCTTTCATTGTTTTACAACTCTCCCCTCAGGTCCACTCCACTATACAACCTTTGCTCTGGACTCCTGTCATGACAGAAATACCTAATCACATATTCCTTTTAAACAGTTTTCTCCCTCATCTGTTTCAATGTAGTATACATTATTGAACCCATCTTTCTCAGTCTCTCCCAAACCCCGAGGTCAGTCCTGTTTTACAACAGTGAGTGGCACCATGCAGTATTTGTCCTTTTGTGACTGAGATACTTCACTCAGTATAATGTCCTTCAGGGTCACCCAATTTGAATAATATTGCATGAGTTCCTTGTTTTTCAATGCTGTGTAGTATTCTATTGTGTGAATATACCACAGCTTCTCTATCCATTTGTTTGTTGATGGGCACTTAGGTTGTTTTCATCTCCTTGCTATTGTGAACAAAAGCCGCAGTAAACATGGGTGTGCATGTATCTGCTTGAATGTCATTTATGATCTCTTTGGGGTATATTCCCAGTAGTGAGTGGAATTGCTGGGTCAAATGGTATCTCTATTTGCAGCTTTTTGAGAAACTGCCATATCACCTTCCACAGTGGTTGCACCATTTTACACTTCCACCAACAGTGATTAAGGGTCCCAGTTTCTCCACAACCTCGCCAGCATTTGTTGTTTGCTGTTCTGTTAAATTTTGCTATTCTGACTGGGGTGAGATGATAGATATCTCATAGTTGTATTAATTTGCATCTCTTAGAGCTAGGGAGTTTGAACATTTTTTCATATGCTTGTTAGCCTTCTGGATGTCTTCTTTGGTGAAGTGTCTGTTCATAGCCTGTGCCCATTTTTCACTTGGATTATTTACCTTTATCTTGTTGTGGTGTATTCTGTTTTATTTTTGTAATTCACTTGCATATACAGCAAATTGTAAATAAACCAAAAACACAGATATCATCGCCGTTGAGTTGTTTTCCAGCTCATAGTAACCCCTACAGACTGTGAATTTCCACAGGAGGCTGCCCAAGTCCCCCCCTTCTCCCCAAGCAGCTGGGGTGCTGGGATGGGTAAGAGGTCTAGCTGCTAACTTTTTAAGTTAGTGGCATAACACATAACAAACTACCCTCAGAGCTCCAACCATAAAGAAATAATTCTAAATGAAATGTCATTCTTTGGAAAGAAAAAGAAATCCATTTCTACGTTTTGGTCATTTATATTTTGTTTCAGTGCTAGTTACTAGTCTTTTTTCCACCTCTGATTTCTAAATGTATTGTAAATTTGTAATTTTATCTTAGCAGTAGACAACAAAGGATGGGGTCAACTAAAGAGATTGCCAGTCTAAATGGTGCTTAGATAGTTGGGACCAGCCCCAGAATTTATGAAAAAGACATTTGCCCTCGCCCCTCTCCCCTAGAGTCTGGTTTAATAGCTCTAGGCCAAGTGTTGGGTTGCTAACTAAAAAGTCAGCAGTTCAAATCGACCCACTGTCATTTGGGAGAAAGATGAGGTGGCCCCTTGCCATTAAGATTTGGGGTCTCAGAAACTCCATGGAGGGTTGCAATGCATTAGAATTGACAAGAATGGATTTGATTTCTAGGTTAGAGAACATCTTTGGAAAATTTTTGTCCAAATTAAACAGCTCTGGTGGCCTAGTGGTAAGGATCTGTGCTGTCGATCCAAAGATACTCTGTTCGAATCCACAGCTGTATCATTATGTTGGAACCAATTTATAGCTGATCTTCCAGCTTCTTTACTTTAAATCACACAGAAAGAAATTGCCCACCTTTCTCCCTTGGAGTAGGTGGATTCAAACACGTGCCTTTGGCACGAGTTGGCAGAGCAACTCCTTACCACTAAGGCACCAGAGTTTAATGTCATAGAAAGTAATATTATTATTTTCGTTAATGGCAACTTATGATTCTCTCCCTTGTTGTGTTGTTGTGTGCCCTGGAGTTGGAACCAACCCATAGCTGACTCTCTAGTAGGTCTTCAGAGGCAGTAAATTGCGAAGGAGGAGTTTGTCTGTCCTTCTTCTGCTGATGTTCATAGATATATTTTAATATCAGAGGTTTGTGATATTAATAGATGTAATTTCTGAAATTGGGGGGGTAGGTAGGGAAGAAAGGTCAGATACTTCTTAGTCTCTAAAAGTAGGTAATCAATATTATCCTCTAATTGCAAGTTTTTCAGATCTTGAAAATTCTTTTCTCTTTTGCTCTGGTCTGCCCGGGAGTCTTTGTTTGTTGTTTGTGTTTTTCTCTGGGGCATATTGTATTCACTGGCTGGATCTATGTGATCGCTGTTCCAGTTCTAGTTTAAGTTTCATCTTTTTTTCTTACCTTTTCCTTACTTTCTGAGATTACTTCTCAGTGTACGTGCTACACTGAGAAGTAAATCAGCATGCAGCCGTGAACTTCATGAATGTGGGTTGGCCTGTGCGGTTAGTGCACAGGCCTTTTCATTTCATCAATATCCCCTTCCCACTGCAATTGCTTGTGCTTAATCTGCTCTTAGCCCAGGGGTTACTCTGAGCCATCATTGCGCCCTGGATTCTCCAGAGAAGAAATCCACCCAGAAAATGAGATAATTTAGAAATAGTTCTTGCAATCACAGACAGATGATCGAGGATTTGCAGGAAACGGGGTTATCCCCACCCGGCCTTTTGTAGTAGGTCCAGACAGACTACCTTTAATTGGTCCATTTACCAGCTTCAGATTAAATTTGCCAAGACACACACCAAAAGCTCACCTCTGTCCTACAGGACCTTCTCTTCTCATCAGCACTGGCAGCTGCAGATCAAACAACTGATGCACACAGTGCCGCCTGGTGTTAAAAATAACATCTCTTTTTTGTTTCCTTTCTAGGTTTGAGATTTTTAAGAGCTCTCAGGCTGATACAGTTTTCAGAAATCTTGCAGTTTCTGAATATCCTTAAAACAAGGTAAGGTGGGTCTCTCTGGGTGTTTGTTTTCACCCCACTTCCCAGCACCAGCTTTAGTCATCTGCTGTGTTTATGTCGATCTTAGTAAAACTAGGGCTCTGCTATTATCAGCAACAGTGACCTGAGATTGAATAGGAAGTGGCAATCTGGGGGTTGAACCTGCTCTCTTCTTCAGGGCCCTGGGAACAGTGGGCAAAGAGTAAGAGCTGGCCATGCAGGTGGGAGGTCAGGGCGCCTGTGAAGAGAAGGGTGATGCTGTTTGGGGCCCGTGCAGGCTGCTTGTGGTTCAGCCATGGCGTGCGCATAATGTGGACACAGCAGATGAGAGATAGACTTGCTCATTGATTGGGGAGTCCTTGCTGCCAGACTTTAAATCGAGCCTTTATTACATCACTAAATAAGAAATTGAACCTGGCCGTAAAAGCAATAGAAGCAATGCTCTTTTGCCAGGCAATCACAAACCTCATACAGCAAACAGAAAATCATTTCATTTCAAAGTACATTTTAGATGTTCATTTTATATCCAATGGAGCCCCTGGGGTGTGCTCTGTGAATTGCCTTTTGGGGAAAACCTAAAAAGCTCCCACTGCAGACACCATGACGGCTCCTGTTAACTGTGTTATGATCTGGAAAACACAACTGGGCCAAGAGGGAGAATCCTCGAGAGGGTCTCTTTCCTGATGACCTGCTGGTGCATGGGGCTGGCCTGAAACCAGCGCTGGCGTGATGAATAAAGTAAGAAAAGAGCTTGGACGGACTCTAATGGAGAATAAGTACAAGTCATAAATTTCTCTCACAGGAAATTACACTTAAGAAACTCACTCCCAGTGTTCCGTTTCCTCTTTTCTTGGCTGTAACATGGCTGATAGACGCTTAAAAAACAGGATACCTCAGTACTTGGCTGTTTACAGTTGACGTAGCTGCGTTTCGCAGAGCTCCAATTCTGTGGTTGTTTAGGTAAAGCCGGTCCTCAGACTCCGGAACCTGACACATCCAGTACTAACCTACCTTTCCCCCCCACCTCATGTTAGGTGTAGTGTTTTTGTTTTGTTTAATATGTGATGGTGAAGTAAATTCACTTCCTGTTAGCCAAGTTAAAACAATCCTGATGTCATCAGAGTATTTTCTAGTGTGTCCAGACACACGTCCAAGCTTATTACCCTGAGGTCAGAATCAATGGGGCCTCTATGGAATTGTCTGTGATGTTATTAATATATAGTATATATAGTACTCTATGCACTGGGCTCCTGGTACTCTAGTAATTTAATATAGCAGCCAAGCCGTGACCACCACTTTGGCTCTCTCTTATCTCTGTGCTGTCCTCTTTAATGTACATTTGAAAAGGGAAGGCCTCGTGTCATGCTTACTTTGTCCTACTAGTGTAGTGCTCTGGTATGGAATAGTTTCTCTCTTTTGATTTTACTTCCTAAATGAGAGGGCAGGTGGCAGCTAGTCTAAGCATTTAAAGAAGTTAACATTAACATTTAAATCAGCATTTAGGTTACTCTGAGGTATAATTTGGAGCACCCCATATCCTTCCCTTCCTTTTATACCACAGGTTCCTTTAAGGACTCTAGAGAATGATGGGCCATCTGAACACACTATCCTTTCTGGTCATTCAACTTTAATAGGAATGCATTTGCTCACAGTTTAGGCAGCGCGGAGTCTGAATTCAGGATCCCAGCTCTAGGGGAAGGTTTTTTTCTCTTTGTTGCCTCCATTTCTATCAGGAAGCTTCTTTCCTCCCTTGTCCCCAGTGTGTCTTGGCATCTGTTGCCCTGTGTCTGGGACACTGTCAGCACAAGGGCCCCCACAGGTCTAATAGATACACTCCACTCCTGACTCTTCTATCTTGTCTACTTCGCAACTTCCCCATCACTTCTCTTTGATTTCATCTCCTGTAGCATAAAAGGTGACGCAGGCCACTCTCTGGAAAACTTATGCCAGGCGGTCTGTGACCTGAGTTAGGGTATGTGTCCTAGCCTCACTCCCTTACCATGGACTGGCTGGTCACACCAAAGGGTTGGTTACACCGTCCTGTAATTAACGAATCACATCACTGCAAAACTGCATAACAACTGAAAATCCTGGCCCAGACAGGGTGACACGTATTTTGGAGAGATAAAGTTCAACTTATGACACTCACTAATTTCTTATCCCGTGGAAAACTAGATTCTTCTCCCTTGAATACAGGGGATTTCGCAGCTATCCCTGTGAACAGTGCCCTCATAACTACAACATCAGGGCTCTGGTGGCCTACTGGCAAGAAGCTGTGCTGCATCCCAAAGCCACATGGTTTGAATCCACCAGCTGCTCTGTAGGGAAAAAGATTGGCAGTTTTCTCCCCTGCAATTAACTGCCTTTGAAAATCTCCTGGTGGGTCTGCTATAGGTTGATGTTGACTTGATGGTACAGAGCAACATGGACACTTTGATTCCTTTCCTTTGAATCCAGGGGATGTTGCGGCTATCCCTGATAACCACATTTGTTCTGTTGTTTTTGTTCTTAGGTGCTATCAAGTTTAGCATGACTCATAGCGACCCTATGAACAAAAGATCTAAGCCCTGTTCTATAACTATCGTCATTTCTCTACATTCATAGAGTTTCCAGACGCCTGTTGTTTAGGGCGTGGCTTCCACTCCTGCTTCCAAGCCTGTCTCAATCTAGAAGCTCCACCAAACACTAACCATAATGGGTAACCATTATGGCACTTGACACACTAGGAGCACAACGTTCAGCATAACAGCAACTCCAGGTTACTTCAGTACAGCAAATTGATAAACTAGTGCTGTATAACTTAGAATAATGTTCATCCCAAGCACAATTAACACCAGACCTGAGGGCCCACCTGCTTTTTAAATGCAAGCCCCCCCCCGCCCCCCAGGTCCTGGCTAACTCTAAAGAAGAGGCTTCCAGCCCATAGCTCATTGTTAGCTAAACCAGACAAATCCAGTCAGCTCACACGATTGTAAACAGAAAACAACAAAACAAAACAAAAAACCACCATAAAACAAAACACAAAAAAACCAACCCCCAAACCCAACCAAATAGTCCACACTCAACCCTCACAAAAACAAGAGAACCCACCTTTCAGAATACACCCGCTTCACACATGAGCCTACAAACTGGAGACTTAGTCAGGGTCCAACCGCCTTTTAAATACAAGGTCCACCTAACAGGTCCTGGTTGACTATAAACAAGAGACTTCCAACCCACAGCTTATTTTTAGCTTAATCTGGCAAATCCAATCAGCTCATACACAATTGTGAATGAAAGAAAAAACCCAACTAAACAGTCCACCCCAGAGCCTCACCAAAACAAGAGAACCTACCTTCTAGAATTCAACTGCTTCAAACATGAGATTCCAAACTACATTTATGGGTGCTTTATTCTCCCAGCATGTCAGGGAGAAAGCTGAAGCAGCCCAGGAAGGAACAAGGTCCTGGAGAGAGTGCCCTCTAGAGAAACGTGAAGCTGCAAACCACTCAGGAGTCTGGGATCCCACTCTAAGCAGCATTTCCCCAGCACCTATTGCTTATCAAATCACGCTCCTTCTGCTGTCAGGGGCTGTTTTGTAATCTCGCAGCTTGGTTTTCCAAATCCCTCTTGCTATGTTCATACGAGGTGATTCTATTATTTAGTGAAGTTGAAGGGGACTACTTGGTTGGTCGGCACTGAGGCAAGTGACAAGATGAGATTTTAGATCAAGTTCACCAGCCCCTGCTCAGCCTGACCAGAAGGAGTGTGATTGGTCTGTCAGGTGCACACAGGGTTACACGGTGCAGAGAAGGGCATTAAGCAAGGCTCTGTTTGAAATGAGGGGCAGGTTAAGGATCCTCTCAAGCAAAGGGGGTGTTTTAGAAAATTTTGTAGAAAACAAGGGGCTTGGGGACAGAGGGGTGAAAATGTGAGGGAGCAAGAGGGCAATGTGATCAGGGAATTTGCACCTGTGGCTTGTCCACAAGGCACATCAGTGTGAAAATGTGGCCCCTGGAGACTGTGAGCCATTCTGCATCTGGAGGTTGGTGTGAAGGAGAAGAGGTTTGGATAGAAAGACATGGGCTAGATCATGAGCTGTGGATTAAAACATCATGTACTTTCAAGAACTCTGTGGGCTTTGGAGCCCCGCTCTGGGCCCCTCTCTTTTTAGGGCCTGCCTCATCTTGGCTTCTCCCTTCTCTGCAGCCTCAGTACAGATGGGGGACCTGGAAGGCCTGATGTTTGCAGCATGTCGGGCTTGCCTCTACTCTCTCCTGGCTCCTCTGTGCTGGGCTGCTCTCACAGTGGCCGTCCACCACCTAGGATGGAGGCGGAGTGCGGCTTTCACTGATGGTCGACCCCTCTCTGCCTGTCTGTGACATTAGGTAGAGATGGAGGCTTTGAAGAGGGGATTTGAAATAATGATTTGAAATTGCTGTTTGTCATTATGTTCTCTGACTGCCTCACTTAGCCAAGATGTCAAAGAGACACACATGAGGAGAAAGTGTTTCAGAATCAATAAGATCACAAGAAGCTGATTTTTTAAAAGAGGAGAAAAAGAAGATCGCAAGAAAACAAAGTGGACAGGACACAATGTAAACAGAGTTAACTGTCCATGGCCAGTACCTGGACTGGTCCCCAGAAGACTAGCTAGCCTCAAACCAGTGGCTATCAGGCCATGCTGGCCCCTGAGTGTTGGGTGGAGTGTGCTCCAAAGAGCATTCATGGCTCCATTTTATGACAAAGAAAAATAGGCCTTTCTTCCAAGATAGGGCAGCCAAGTGTGTTCACTGTTTGCATCATCTGGGGATTCTAGAAGGACCAACAGACTCCATGTTGAAGATGACACATTGAAGGGAGGCTGGGGACTCTGGGACACTGGCAGGTCCTTGACAAGCTGACAGGAAAGTAACAGAACACTTGGTCCAAACTCAGAGCAAAGTAAACAGTTGTGTTAGAAGATTGTGATTCTATATCCCCTGTAATGTGGTAGCTATTAATAATTAAACATAAATTACCTA